ATACCATTTCATCAATTTCTACATGTACAATTCAGTAACACTGATTATATTCTTCAGGTTGTGCTACCATTCTCCACATTATTGCACCACCATTATCTTAAAGTCACTGCCCCCTAAGTTTCCCATCCAGCCTTTTGAGTTGCCATTGTCAATTTGATTTCACATAGATAATTCTTTAAAAGAGCACAGTGCTCAAAGCAGACATACTTTACTAATTAAAATAAGCTGTTTTTTGGTTCATAGAAGACCAGGGGATAGTTTTTGTTTAAGGTTTAAAATTTAAAGATTACCTCAGGGCGGTAATTTTGGGCACTCATCCAGCCTCAATGGCTCTAGAAAATCTGGATTCCATTGTCCTTACTCTCTTTGTAGAACTGGGCTAGGGGAGAATTTCTGTTTCCACCCAGGTTTGGGGGAGCCTTCTTTATGTCAAACTGGGGCCAAGGAGAGAGGACAACTCTGTGCCCTGGTAATTAGCACCCTTTGGTGCCAGTGATGGTTCGAACTCACTAGCCACTTCCCAGGAGAAAGATGTGGCAGTCTGCTTCTGTAAAGATTACAACCTTGGAAACTCTGTGGGGCAGTTCTACTCTGTCTTACAGGGTCACTATGAGTCGGAATAGACTCCATGGCAGTCGGTTTGGTTTTCTGGTTTGGTGCCAGTAAGGAAAGAACAGTCACGGTACCTGCTTCTGGGTTGAAATCCTTATCGGATTTCACTCTTTATCCAGTTTATAGACTGTCCTCCGGGCTCCCCATTAGCCAGTTACTAGGTAAGCATGCTATGCAAGTCTTCATTTAAGTCATTGATAAAGCCCTAGGTACCTCCAGAGAGGTCTCTCTAGGTCAGCATCAATCAGTTAATCAGTTTCCTGAGCATGTAGTCCAACCATGTATGGATTCTCCTAATCTTAACATTATTCAGCCATATTTACCCATCCTGTCCACATAGATAACATGAAACATTCTGTCAGATGCTTTCCACCTACCATCATCTTTGTTTTACCAGATTTTTGAAATAAATAAAATTTAGTCAGCAGGTTATCTATTTAGCAGACTCTTACTGGCTCCTGATGATTCTTGCTTCCATTTTAAGGGACTCCATGTGTTAGAGAGAAGTACAATCTTGATGAGAAAATCCTCCATCCCTAAGCTTCAGCCCATAAGATCCTATCAACTCATCTTTCTTTTCCCCTGAATTTGTTTAAAGTCTGTTTTCTAGAAAAATAGGAGGAACATCAGGCTGGGCCCATCTTCCTGTCATGAACTGTAAGATAAGTAGTAGTTTATGCCAAGGTTCTGTCACTCTCACTTCACCAGACACCACCTTCATGTGGTCAGGGTTAGGTCTGCACAGGTTCTCCTCATCGTTCCTCTGCTGCCAGCCTAATCAGGAGTGCTGGCCACTGGGCTGGGTCCTGAAGCCACCCTCACTGCTATCTCTTGCTTCTCAGACAGTCTCAGGAATGAAACTTCCCTTTGTTCTCTCCAGATGGGCTGGTATGTTCCCATAATGATTTCACTTTTGATCTTCTTGCTTTTAACTTCCCTCTAGTTTTCCTGTGAAGAAACAACCTGTGAGTCTACCCGGTGTACTTGGGTCTTTGCAGATCTCTTTGTCACCTTCTTAAAACACAAGTTCTGTAGACACACACTGACATTTAGATAGAAGTAGCTGTCACCAGTGAGGGAGTTATTCACCATATCTTATCAGAAACCCCAAACACTAATAAGATTGATGGGTTCCCAGCTTGGTGATGTGTGCCGAAGATGTGCCTATTAAAAATTACCCACCAGTCATAGGTCAGCATGCTTATTGAATGCTATTTCCAAGGCACTATGCAAGTGCCCTTGGGGTGCAAAGAGGCCTCTGACATGGACCCTGCCATCTGTCTAGTGGGCAGAGAGAAGCTGTGAGCAGATGGGTGTAAGTGTGTGTATAGAGAGCAGAAAGTGACAAGGGCCATGGCAGAGCTGAACATACTGGGCTTTGGGAATTCAAAAGAGAGGTAAAGTAGGTTGTGCCATCTAGTGCTCAACCTTGGATGGCCAGGAGGAGGGTGGTGCGTTCACTGTTAAGTGGGAAGTCCAGGAAAACAACGGAATTGGAGGGAAGGTGGTAGTGGTTCTGACTTTGGACTATTTACACACCTACTTCCTGGCCCATGTGTCTCATCAGAAAGAGCTTGTAAAAGGGCCACCTCAGAGACTTAGGGAGGTCATGATAATGATAGTCAAAAGTGCGAAGGACCATGGTGTAGAAGAAACAGATCTGTTCTAAGAAATTCCATCTATACCTAATGGAAGGGCCAAGGGTTTTGGAGTCTCTGTTTCCTGCCTGTGTGACCTCCGCAAGCTCCAGACCCTTTCTGAGCCTCTGCTTCCTGGTATGTAAAGTGATCAGAAATGATGTGAGTGCTGGGCGCTGGCCTGTCTTAGCAGCACCAGAAGGAGTCAGGAGTTCAGAGTTCAGTGGGGGTGGGCATTGGTGCACAGCCTGTGTGGGCAGACGGTGGTGGGAGCTGGGAAGGAGAGCATGGCCTCTTGTTGGATCTTGGGCAGGACTTAGTTCTCCTTCTCTTGTTGCTTTCCAGGGTCCTCTGTTGACTGATGATTTTTTTTTCAGCTATAAATGAACATATGTGCCTAGGTGCTCAGAGATGTCACTAGTATGTATGAGTGTGTGCTATATAAGATCATTTGTGGCTTCCCTACTCCTTTCTGGGGAAATAGTCACACTGTTCTCAGTCCTTAGCCCGTTTTCTGGGCAGTTCGCGGCAGGTTGCAGGGGATACCTGTGATGGGAGAATGCTTCTGACCACAGGTGTCTCCATCAAAGCCAGGCGGTCAAGCTTTGGGCAGCGGCCTTCAAAGGAGAAGAGAGACGCTTCCAGTGCAGCAGCTGGGGCCAGCTGTGCCATTTCTTTTGCTTCAAGCTTACAATTTTTTTTCCTGAAATAAATTATGAATGTAGTTTGAAATGAGCCATTTGGCTCATCTTGCTGATCAGAGAGGATGTGTCCCAAGTTTATTTTCTTTCCCTTTTTTTCCTTTTTCCTGCTTTTCTTTATACTTCTGCTATTCTTCTTTTTTAGGACTAAAAATATTATCCACAAGTTATATACTAGAGAAGTCCAATTTTAGAAGACATTGGGAGAAGCAAAGAATGTCATTTCCCAGTGAACCCACTCACCAAGACTTCTATTTCACTCACTCCATGTTTTCCTAAAACAACAGTTTACCAGAAAACCATCACCCTCAGGGGAGTCTCTGGGTGGTACAAACAGTTAAGTGCTCGTCTACTAACTGAAAGGGTTAGTGGTTCTAGTCTACCCCAAGGTACCTCAGAAGAAAGACCTGGCAATCTACTTCTGAAAAATCAGCCACTGAAAACCCAATGAAGCACAGTTCTACTCTGACACACATGGGGCCTCCATGAGTCAGAACTGACTTGACAGCAACCGGTTTGGTTTTTTGGTTTTATCACCCTCAGGGTGAGGCCCCCACCCTTCTGGGCTGCCGGTCCTTGGCACAAGTGGCTGGGACCAGCATGACCAAGTTTGGCCTTTGCTCACTTCTGACTTTGCACAGACCTGAAGGAGAAGCCAAACATCAGGAGGTGTGCCCACCCATCCCAGCAGCCAGTGCTGTGCCTCACGTTTTGCCAAATATGACCCACCCCTCAGACGTGCCGAGACTCCAGCGCTGAGTATTATATCAGACCCTACTCTAACGTTACCATTAATAAAGGGTGCTTATCCAGGGAAAGAGTGGCTAGCAGAGTCATGCTCCAGCTGTGTTTTCCTCAGTGTGCCGTTGATGAAGATGACCTGGGGACACACTTGGGGGTGGGAGGGGGTTGTAGAAGAGGAAAGGTGGTCTTGTTCCACTTTCCTGCATCACCCAGCTGTACCATTGGACTGTTGGCTCTTCATATGGTTTCATATGTAGCCATTTTATGCCCCGTCTCCCATGTTACTTGTTAAGTCAAAGCAGGCTGAGGGGCATCGAGTCAGCGCTTGAAGCCCCAGGGCCTACGTAAATGAGAGTCAAAGACTGTGCCCCTGCAGCCCCCACCTTTGAGCCCCACCGGCTGGGCAAGGACTTCATACACACCACTTCTAAGTTGCACAGCAGCCCCTTAACATGGGGGGTGCTGTCCTCGCTTTAACTGGTGAGAAGCTTGTCAGAAGTCACGGCTGGGATTCAAACCCAGTCTGTCTGACTCCATAAGTTACTCTTTCAAGTTAAAATTTCCCGATGGACCCGATATGATTAGTCTTAGCTTTGTTGTTAGCTGCCATCAAGTTTGCCCCCAACTCATGGCGACCCCACGCCCAGTCCTGTGCCATCCTCATGATCATTTGTGGATAGGACTGTTGTGATCCATAGGGTTTTTATTGGCTGATTTTTGGAAGTAGATCACCAGGCCTTTCTTCCTACTCTGTCTTAGTCTGGAAGCTCCACTGAAACCTGTTCAGCATCATAGCAACACACAAGCCTTTACTAGCAGACAGTGGTGGCTGCACATGAGGTACATTGGGCAGGACTTGAACCTGGGTCTCCTGCATGGAAGGCAAGAATTCTACCACTGAACCACCGCTGCCTCATCTAGTCTTAGTTGGAGACTGTCTAATGAACATGCTTCCTGCCCACATCCTCACAGAGCACGGCTTTATCCGCTCTCAGCTCTGCCTGTGCCGTTTTCCTGCCTCAGCCTCTCAGTGACTCCCACTGCTCACAGATCCGAATCTCATCTCCTTGGCAAGGGTTCTAGGCTCCCTCTCTGCTCCCAAAGCTCCTGTCTGCACACCTGCCTGGTGTTCAGGGGTGTGCAGGGAGGAGGACTCCAACTTAGCCACTCATTTTAAGCTGTGTACCCCTGGGAACAGGGGTGGCACCTGCTCTCCCCCAGCCACTGGCTCACGTGTATCATCTGTGTTGATGTCTTGAGTTACTGAACATCATTGGTGTGTTCAATGCTATTTTCTCTTTTGCAGCAATGGATGGTGTGCCTTTTATGATTTCAGAGAAGTTTTCTTGTGTTCCAGAAAGTGTAAGTTTTAAGCATGATTGCCCTTCCCCACGGCCACCCCAGCCTGAAGCCTCTTCACTCTTGATTTCCACAGCATGCCGGGCCCTAACACTCCTGCCTCCATCTGAATTCTCTCTCCCATGGAAGCTTAACCCTGCAGTCCAAGGACAGTGACTCCTGAGAGCAGGGAGTGAGTGGTGTCCCCTCTGCCCCTTCAGCTAGCGCCTGCATGTAGTAGGTGCTTGAGAAGTGAAAGAAGAATGGATGAGGAACAAGACAGACAAACAGACAAACTCAGATGCAGCCGAGCTTTTTCATTTCAGATGTGATGGTAAATTTGACTGAACCAGTGTGTTGTTGTAAATGGCCTTATTTTCCAGGTTCAGCTTAGTGATTTTGTTCTTTTTTGTTTAACTATGGCAGAGTACTGCAGAAAAGAGGCTGCCTTGTTTCCCTTTGTCATTGCTATGTTCTTGGCAACTGCATGCTCTGCCCTGACGCAGAGGCCTCCCGGTGGCAGTGGTGGCACCGTGGGTGCAGAGTGCCTTGTAGCTGGGGGTCTCTCCTTAGAGTGAGGGTGCTCACCCCAGGCCAGCATTCACCCCACACAAACAGCTCATTCACCTCTGAGCTGTCTCTGGTGACAGAGGGACTGAGTGAGCTGGCTGGGTTGGAGGCCAGAACTGGGCCATGGAGGGTGCCCACCACACACAGTGCTGAGGGACTGTTTGTGGGGGGCTGTAGGTCCTGCCTGGCACAACTGGGGTCTTCTCTCAGATGGTGCTGCCCTAGGATGGCAGTGGCCCTGTCTCAGCTGTGCAGTCCCAGTCCACGCCGGCTCAATAGACTTGTTCCTGGTTTTTATCCTTTCTGCAGAAGTTTGCTTTGAGTAGCTAATAAACGTGAAGGCCCCAGATTGGGCACCAGCAAAAGAATCCTTCAGTGTTTTTCTTGGATCCAGCTTAAAAACCACCCGGCTTGCTATTTGACCTGCTCTGTAGTTTCCATTTTCATGAAATATAATAGGCCTCCTCTGAACCCTTCTGGTAAGCAGCTTAATCTTGAAAAATGCTCGCAACGTGACACTTGGAGCATGAGTAACTTCAGCCGACTTCACTTGGCCACGTTGCCATAGAGACACTGGCGCCTCTCCCACCCTTTCCCTTGGAGAGGCTGTTCTGTCCTGCTTACCAGTTCCAATAGGGAAAGTTTAGTGGGGTAGTTAGAGCCTAATGATACAACAGCTGGGCCTCTGCTGGATCCCAGGCAGCGCGGCCGAGCGGGCAGGCGGCCTCTGTTCTCCTGCCACTTGGGCTGGCAGCTCAGAGAGAGCCAAACTGTTTTGTGGCCACTGGCAGAGCAGCTCCAGGAGCTTGTGTCTAATTCGTGGCCCTGTCCCAAGATTGCCCTCGCGAATGTACGGCAGCAAGTGCTCACAGAGCGCTGACTCTGGCCAGCCCAGCGCCCAGCGCTCCATGTGCGTTCTCTCACCTAATCCTCCCAACAGCCCTGCAAAGAGAGATTGCCCATGCTGTTTTCTAGCAGGCGAGGAAATGATGAAGTGATTTAACCTGAGGTTGCATCATTAGGAGGCGCTGAGCATGATCCTAAATCCGGGTCCTTGGAATCCAGAGCCGGCCCCTGAAAATCCCTGCTGGCTGAGATCAGGCTGGCTCAGGCCTGCGGCGGCTCTCTAGCACTGCTCTGCCTCTGGGCTGCAGTTCAGAACGACGAAGGCCCTGGGGTTGTTTTGGAGACTCGGGTTTCGCCTGTTCATCCCTGGCTGCCAGCTGCCGAGCACACAGGCTAGAGGAGGCTGGGTGGAGGGCCCACAGAGGGCGCAGACCATGGCCTCACAGACAGGGTCCCCTCTGCCTCTCATCCGTGCATTTCAGCCCGTCTCCTCCAGGCCTCCAGCTAATGCTCACTGCCATTTGATTACTCACGCCGTCTATTGAAAAGCCAGCATTTTCATAAGAAAAGGCCCTATCTTCATGAAATTATAGAAACACCCATTAAAATGCAATATTACCATGTTTTCACCACCATTGAGTTCTGAAATGATAATTTATGGGCAGTTATTTCATTTGCCTTAAATTTTCAAAAGACTTGGAATTCCCTCCAGCTCTTGCTGGATACCAAGGAGTCCTGGACAGGAGACTCACCATCCCCGCCACCTGGGATTCCTTAGACCCCTTGCCTTATATAGACACAACAGTGTAGCCCCTGGTCAGAGCCTTGGGCACCTTCACCCCTACAGCTGCAGAGAGAGGGCAAACCTTGCCAGCTTCTTCATTGTAGTCAGAGGACCAAGCAGTGTCCTCGCACCAAAAGGACCCGACCCATGTTGACGGTCATATTTTCTTGAAGTATGTTCTTTGTTCTAACCACTAATCTGTTTGCCCTCACTAATGATTAGAGAGGAGACCCTGAGTGGCACAAATGTTTAAGTGCTCAACTGCTAGCCAAAAGGTTGGCTGTTTGAACCCACCCAGAGGCACCTTGGAAGACAGGCCTGGCAGTCTCCTTGCAAAAGTTCACAGCCTTGAAAACCCTATGGAGCACAGTTGTACTCTGCACACATGGGGTCTCCAAAAGTTAGAATCAGCTCCATGGCAACTAACAACAACAACGAAGTGACTAGAGAGTCACGCTGGCATGTTCCTGTATTTCCTGCATTTTCTGTGGAAAAGGGATGGAGAATATGCTAGATGACACCAGGCGGTTTGAGATTTCCAATTTTTGTACATAAAAGCAAATGTGAAGGAGCATTTTCTAGCCATTTAAGAGGGTGACGTGTTCTGTATTTTCAGATGCAGCCCTTCGATCTCTTGGGAATCACCATCAAATCTCTGGCAGAAATTGAAAAAGAGGTAAGTAAGCTGCCCAGAGTGGGGTCAGGTGGGGCTGGGCCACCACTTGCTCATGTCGGGGTCTCTCATCTCCCGTTAGGGATTGTTTCAGAAGCAGGAAGGACCTAGTAGCAGGGGTACCCTTCTGAGAAAGACACTTTATTTCACTCAAATTTATTTCTTAGAAACTCAGTTTTAATATATTTATTACTTTGAGTCAGATATGACAGTCATCTCCTTGTCTTCTCTAAGTCACAAGGTTTTAAGTGACGAAACGATCAATTCTGCTTCATTTTATTAAAATGTCTCCGCTTAGACAAGGTGAGGGCAGAGGGGTGGGCCCGGGATCAACTTTTCTTCTTCCTTCTCTTGTAATATTTGCCACCAGTAGGGGCTCTGTGAGGTTGTCCACGTTTCTAATGATTTAGGGGAAGGGCAGGACACACACAGTTGTACTTGTTAAGCGAGGTCCCATTTGGCAGCCTGGTTTGAAATAGTTTGGATGTTTGCCTAATAAAAAAAGAAAGAAATCCAAGATTGGAGTACGTCTGATAGCTCTGAAGAAAGAGTGGAGATAATGAAATCAGACTGGAGGTCAGATGTGTCAGTGTTTTCCCTGTTTTCGTAAGGCGGCATTAGAGTGTGTGCGTCTTTTTTATGTATAGAAGGTTGTTAAGCAGTCACATGCTTGCAGCCAGCTCTCCTCAGAGAGGAACATTTGTCTCAAAGATGGAAATGGTAGAACCATTTCAATATTCTCAGTTCCTTTGGGTTTTCTCTTATGTACCCAGCTCTCAGAAGCAGGTTGCATTATTGAAAGATGGCTGAAATCAAGGAAAATTGAATCAATGTAGCACAACAAATTTCTAAAGCTGTCATAGCAAAAACAAGACAAAAAAGTCCCCCTTTGTCTTTGATTTTCTGTAAATCATAAAAACGAACCTGATTGTCATATACAGATTTTTTTTTTTTTTTTTTTTTTTGGCAACTTAGGGGAAAAATGGCTGGCTACTACATTAGAAATACACATGTGCATGGAATTTCACATCTGCTTTTTCAAAAGCAAGGTAGCCATGGAAGGTTTGGAGGGCCACCTGCTTGTGAACGCTGCCTGCCTTTGCACGGGGTGCTGCCTGGGTGGGAGCTCTGTGAGTCTTTGCAGAAGACCTTTGAGGGCAGCCTGCTCTGGCTGCAGGGGGCAAAGCAAGGGCAGAGCTGGTTAAGACAGACAGAAGCCATAGAGACAGATGTCTGAACCCACGAGCTTCACCACTGCCTGGGGGCAAGTCACACCCCCTCTCTGTTTAAAACGGGGACACTAGAGCCTATCTCAAAGGGTTCTTGTGCATGCTGAATGAATATGTGTAAAAAGCCCTGGCAGACAGCATGTACTCCATCACAGGTGGTTAGGTGTCGCTGATGTGGCATGTGGTGCAGAGAAAGGGAGCAGCCATTGAATGTTGAGCTTTCGCTGCCCTCCCGGCCTCCTCTGGCTGGCTTATCTGTGGGCTGTTGACAGTAGCACCACTTACTAACCACCTGCTGTGGGGCCTGGGTTCTCAGCCCAAGCTGACCAAGTGGAGGCCATTCCTCCCCGTTTCATGGGCAGAAATTGAGGCTCTGAGAGGCAAAGTAACTTGCCCAAGACAAGACTCAGACCCAGCTGTGCTGTGCTTCAAACCCCCTCCACTATGACTTGCAGTCCATGGCTTCATGTCCCCCTAGGGGTGTACTCTGGAGGCAGGTCGACCTGGGTTCCAACCCCACTAGGCCTTCAAGTTACCAGGATGGAGTGAAGTGGGTGAGGGTCCCAGTGTAGGGCCAGTGCATGTGGTAAGAACCACCAAAAGCATTAGTTCCCTTCCCCACCCTAAGTACTGAAGTCCGACCCAAACAATGCCTTCCGTTAGAATGTGCCGTCTTAGTGTCCCGCACTCTGGGTTGAGGCGTGGCTGCCCAAGAGGTGGCAGAGCCAGGTGCAGAGAGAAGGGCTCTGGAGTCAGCCGCCCTGGACTTGAATCCCAGCTCTGCCACTTCACCTTTCTGAGCTTCAGTTTCCTCTTCTGTAAAATAAGGATAATAGTAAGAATACTTGTCTTGTAGGATTTTGGGGGGGTTAACTCTAAGTGGCTTAGAACAGTGCCTGCCGTAGTTACCTCTCAGCTAATGTTAGGTGTTGCAATTATGACCATCATTACTGTTGTTGTTCTCTTTGTGAGTAAGGGGGTGTGGCGCAGTGGTTAAGAGGTCAGCTGCTAACCAAAAGGTCAGCAGTTCAAATCCACCAGCCACTCCTTGGAAACCCTATGGGGCAGTTTTGCTCTGTCCTATAGGGTCGCTATGAGTCGGAATCGATTCAACGGCAATGGGTTTTTTTGGAAGGGGATGTGAGTCAGCATAAATCCATCCCGTTTCAGCACCTGAGGCTGCCCAGTCGCTGGTGGCTGAGGAGCATCATCCTGGTGGACAGGGCCTAGCTTTGTTTTGTGTTTTTAGTGATGGGGTAAAAAGCACGTCTGTGTTCCCTGTTGCAGGAAAATAAAGTGGAGTTAAAGAAAATGTGGGAAAATGGAAAGTGGTTAGATGTATTAGAAAGGATCTAAAACCATAACAAGTATTACCTCAGTCAAGAATGCTATGGAATTTTTCATTTAATTAGAGGATTTAAAAGTTACTTACACTGGCCATTCGAGTGCATTTAATGGTGATTAGTATGTTATATTCATACACTTCGGTGAAACGGATTCCTTCTGCAACGTCAGAAGATTTGCCTCATAAATAAGCCTGATGGTTGCTCCTTTGAGTCACTACACTCGCGTTGCTCACTGGCATTGGAGACCAGAAGGGGTGCTCTACCTGCGGCCCACCGGCCTCCGCTCTCAGGATCCCTGTGCTGGGCCCCGGGGGTGGGCCAGGTGTCACCTTGGTCAGGATGATTTTGTGTTTGCTCCTTTCCATTCACAAGTCCAGCTGCTGCTTGGTGAGGCAGGAGAGACGGGCCCTGTGCTTGGGGAGGGGCCTGGGGGCCAAGGGATCCCTGCTAGGAAATTTGCTTTGCTCACTGTAAACCTTTGGATTTTACACCATTAAACCAAAACCAATAAATAAAAATACAGGCAGGGAGGCTGCCTTTGGGTTTAGGGGTACAGACACAAGGCTCGCGTGTCTCTCTCATCCCTTGTCCGTTCTGAACACCTCCCTGGATCTTGTCTAGACTCCTGAGCCAGTGGGGAAGGCTCAGCACCTCTGGGAAGGCTGCTTTGTGTCGGGCAAGTGCTTCCTCTCCTTTCTCCCTCGCTGCCCCATCTACAGAGGAAACCTGGGCTGCGAAGCTAAGCTACTTGCCAGAATCCCACAGCAGCAATAGAGCCAGCCGCTCAGGATATCCCAGAGCTAACGGGCATGTGTGGCTGTGGCCTGGCTAAATATATAGCTATCCTCATCCATGACAGGGTAGTCCCAGCTTTAAAAGGAAGTAGAAACAAGGCTCTGGAAGGTAGCATTTTGTTCTGTTTTACCATCTCTTGTCTGTCCAGAATTAGGACCAGTTTGCTTTTGTGCCAGCTGTAACTTTACTTACCCTACCCTGCCTGAGGGGTGTTTCTGAATTTAAGCCAATGCCCCATTGCCACCATTTAGCCTCAGTGACAGGTCACTCCATGAACGAACCCCATGACCCTGTCTCGTTGAGCATGGTGGTTAGGGACAGGAGCAGGAGAACCTGAAATAAATGCCAGTCACCAAAGAGAGCAGACCAGCAGTCAGCCAAGGAGAGCTGCCCCGTGGTGTCACCACCACAGCAGGGACCCACAGTGGACCCGAGCATGCCTAAGCCCAGGAGTTGCCTGGGAAAGATGGAGAGAGGCAAAGTGTCACCCCAGTCATGGGTGCACAGAGCACCTCCAGTCCCCCGAAATCCTGACGTGCTCAAGGGAGAATGTGATACTTAGTCCCAGTGGCCAGAGCACCCTGAAGGCAGGACACACGTGCACTGGCAGTGCGGCGGGCAGCATGGCATGGAGCACACCCCTTTGGAAGTTAGTTACCCAGTGTTTACGGGGATGTTTGTGGACCGTGTCAACAGTGAAGGCAACATAGTTGAATGGAGAGAGCACAGATTTTGAGTCTGGATGCCTGGGGTGGGATACCAAATCTGCCACTTAGGTTGGACCCTGGGTGAGTCCCTGAGCTTCCCCATCTCTGGTTCCTCACAAGATCGAAGGCCTGGTTACCCTGCCCCAGGGTGCATGGCTTCACCGCGGGAGCACCTTGCCATTGGCAGAGCGCTGCTCCCTTTGCTGCTGCCGGCACTTCTGCAGCTGCTGTTGTATGAACAGGGATTTCCTGTGTTGTGGTATTTGTAGCACTGAGGTCAAGTTTCATGAAAGGCACCCAAGAACGGGCATATTTTAAGGTTAAAATCGCTATGTATGCCATCGAGCAGATTTTGAAAAATAAATCATTGAAAAGGCAAAACCTTTCACAACTCAGAAATACTCTTTTGTGACATGGTTCGTTGCAAATTAATGGAACCATGATTAATGAAGAAATTCAAGCTTTAATGCTTGTCATTCTCCTAGCGCCCAACGGGAGTCACAGCCTCTGTCCTGGCCCCTGTCTGCCAGTGTCCACCATCCTCCTGCAGCTTGTGTCCACCTATGGCTCAGAGTGGGGCTTTACAGTCTTCCCAGGGCACGGGGAAATTCATCTGAGGAACAGAAAGCAAAATTTTGCTCATCTCCCCAGGAGGCTGCTAGGGAATGAGGGAGGGAGGCTGGCTGGTGGCAGCTGCCCAGCAGGAATGGAAACGTTTTTCTGGCTCTGCCCCGCTCC